AGAGAACAGCTCTGAAAGAACTTATGGCCCAAGGTTGGACTTGAAACAAGAGCAGTATGCCATAGAAGTAATTACAGAAGTCTTCCATCTATGTAGTCTTTAAGTGTGAGGGCTCTTTGATAAAGAAACGGGCTGAAAGTAAACTGGGACCGTGTCCAGAATCTTTCACAAGCTGTATTGATCAGAAGTAGATGCTGTAAAATCTATCACAAGCTGTACCCCACTTGCCTACCACAAGGAATCCGACTGACGACGACCTTAAAATTCTATTGTCTGATAAGTTCTCGGCAATTACTTTGTCTGTTGCTGAATTCTTAGCTTATGTTTGGAAGCTTAGGGTAAGGGCGTACAAGTCTTAACCCCCTTGTATTCTTTAGAATTGTTATATTCTCAACTGAGTTTATTATTTCTGAAAAGTATAAAAATGATCCCTTGTTGGTGCAGCTTGGTGTAATTTCGTTCTATTTATTTTTTATTTGTTTCATTGTTCTCTTTGTTGCTGTGTTATGCCAATAAAGGTCTATGCAAGAGATAAAGTGGCCCCAGCTACATGCACAAGCTGTATTGAGCAAAAGTATAGGCTGTTGTTCATTATTACTGGTTATTGTAAGAAATAGACAATGTTGTCCTTTGGAATACTTGTATCAGTACAAATAACAAGAATCCTATAAGTTACATTGAGCACCATTGTATTATTCATGAGTAACTTTAAAGAGTCTGTGTCTATCGGTTGCCATCTAATGGTATAGATTGCTTTTGTATTGGGTTAACTGTCCATGAGCCTGTGATTTGGTGTGAGGCAGGGGGGCTGAGAGAGCTCTCTCGTGAACGGCTCGTGAGAGGACAGCCCTGAGAGAACTTGTGACTGACCCAAGGTCACCCAGCAGCTGCACGTGAAGTGGGGAATCAAACCCGGTTCTCCCAGATCAGAGTCCGCGCTCTGAGCCACGACACCAAACTGGCCTGTCAAGTGCTGCCAATTCGCAGCCGACGTGCGGCAACCCCATACAGTTTTCAAGGCAACCAATAGAGCTGGTCTGCCGTTGCCTGCCTCTGTGTCGTGACCCAGGTCTTCCTCGGCGGCCTCCCATCCAAGGACTAATCAGGGCCGACGCGGCTTAGCTTCCAAGATCAGATGAGATTTTGGCTAGCCTGGGCCCATCCAGGTGTGGACCCATGGCATCTTATAACCTCTTATTTAAAAAAAAAAAAAAACCCACCCAAGACAACAGGACAAGACATCGCTTTAGTACATCGGGGCACTGACCGAAAGTAAGAGCTGCAGCTGCAGAGGATGTTCTTGTGGGCGTTGAACTCGCAGCCGTTGACCTTGATGACCACGTCGCAAAGCTTCCCTTCCAGCCGAAGCTCGTTGAAGACCGTACAAGCCATGGCGCTCATCTTCCGCTCCATGTGGCAGTGGGAGTACCCCGCCGAAGCGGAGGCGTCGTCCATATTTTTTTTTCCGAGGCGGGGGGAGGGCAGGAGAAAGAGCCGCCGGGCCTTTCACTTAAACCTTTCTCTTGGAGGGGGAAAAAAACTGTGATTGGCTCAGAGGTTCCAGAACCTTTCTCATAATGAGATCCCCCCCCCCTCCTCGACGTGACCACCTTCTAGAATCTTGGCCACCCTGCTCGGAAGAAACCCGCTCAGAGTACACAATGGAGAGCGAGACTGGGATACCCGTTCCTGCGCGTTTTTTAAAAGGAGTCACGTCGGTGCAAAGACGACAGTCATCTCGTAGCAAACGTTGGCACACAACGTGGTGGCGCTGAGACGTTATTACACGTAGAGCACACCCCGCCAATTGTCCACTTGCGCCAAATTTACCTACCCAGAGTCAACGGCGGGCCCCAAACGTAAATTTTGGTGCAACTGCTTTCGATGACACCGAGCGACATAGAACCGCTTAAGCGTTTTTAGGTATTGCTCGGATGGGGAGTTGTTTTGAAAATAATGCTGTGTTTTCTCGTCTTTCTCAAACGGCTGCCACAGAATAGGCACAGAACACAGCAGGGGTGGAGAGGGCAGGACCGCTTTCTGAACAAAGGCAAGGGCATTTCCAGAGCCTGAGCTGAACGATACATATTCAGACCTCAAGCACGCTTTTCACCCAATTTCAGAAGATTATGTTTAAACTCCCATGTGCAGGATTGCAAGAGGTCAATTTACAACAGTCGTTGCGGGCACAAGGTGAGAATGACTGGCTGTGCTGCAGAATTGCCGAGTGAAGGACGGAGAGGACGGTTAGTAGAAGAAGAGATCGGATTTATACCCCACCCTTCACTCGGAGTCTCAGAGAGGCTTACAATCTCCTTTCCCTTCCCCTCCCCACAATAGACACCATGTGAGGGAGGCAGGGCTGAGAGAGCTCTGGAGAGAACTGCTCTGAGAGAACTCGTGACTGACCCAAGGTCACACCAGCAGCTGCAAGTGGAGGAGTGGGGCGTCAAACCCGGTTCTTCCAGATTATCATAGAATCATAGAATGTTAGAGTTGGAAGGGACCTTGCAGGTCATCTAGTCCAACCCCCTGCACTCTGCAGGAGCATAGCTGAAAGATAGCCCTTCATATCTACAACATACCCGAAAGATGGTCGTCCAGCCTCCACTTGAAAACGTCCAGCGAAGGAGCATCCACCACCTCCCAAGGCAGACTGTTCCACTGCTCGACCACTCTTACAGTTAGGAAGTTTCTCCTGATATTTAGCCGGTAACGACTCCCTTGTCATTTCCACCCATTAGATCTAGTCTTGCAGTCCGGAGCAAAAGAGAATAGATCTGAACCATCTTCTACATGACAGCCCTTCAAATACACAAAGACTGCAATCCTGTCCCCTCTAAGCCTTCTCTTGCCCAGGCTAAACAGACCCAACTCTTTCAGCCTTTCCTCATAATAAGACTTTGATTCCAACCCTCTCACCATCCTGGTTGCCCTCTTCCGGACACGCTCGAGCTTGTCAACATCCTTCCTAAAATGTGGTGCCCAAAACTGGGCACAGGACTCCAGGTGAGGCCTGACCATAGCAGAACAGAGCGGAACTACCACCTCCCGTGATCTGGATTAGAGTCCGCGCACTTAACCGCTACACCAAACCGGCTCTATTTAATAACGCAGAAGACCAATTCTGATTACGTCTCCAGAAGAACCACTACCAGTGAGTGACACAGGAGCACTGTTCTTCTTGGCACTCATTAGATATCACGTGCCATACACTTTTAACTCAGATGCGCAACATGCCGTTTACCTGCCCTACCCCCAAGGACTCATGACGCAGCTTATTCTAGGCTGCCTGATTCAGTGAGAACACTACGGGCAAAGTTCCCTCTAAGCTGAGTTAGTGTGAGCCAGCTCACAGTTTTTTAGCCTCCAGCTCACACGTTTTTGTCTTAGCTCAGGAAGGATGGCTCCAGGGCAAACTAATTTATGCACCAGCCAAATTGCTCGCTCACAACTTTAATGCCGGTAGACCACAAAGTAGAATTTTTGCTCACAAGACTCCACAGCTTAGAGGAAACAGTGACTACGGGTCTGGCAAAATTCAGTGGAAAGTTACGATGATGGAAGCTATGATTAAAGGTTTCACAGCGCAGAGGGAGCTGTAGTTCCTTTGAAAACTGGGCATCTGCTTAGGCCGTAGAAGACAGAAAGCTGCCACTGATCATCCGGCGACAAGAAGCTGGGGAGTACAAAGCATCCCAGTTTCAACCGCATCTACGCATCTGAGGCAAAGCGTCCCCTGCCAGCCCAGAATCAGGTCCCGAAAAGAATTATCCTTAAAAAGGTGTGAAGCCTGAGTAAGGCTGAAGGAACCGGGTCTGTTTAACGGAGAGAGAAAGCAACGAAGGGAAGCCACCAGTTCCCAGACGCTGCCTAGACCATCAAGCAGCCCGCATTCGAAGACACCATGTGAGGGAGGCGGGGCTGAGAGAGCTCTGAGAGAACTGCTCTGAGAGAACTTGTGACTGACCCAAGGTCACACCAGCAGCTGCAAGTGGAAGAGTGGGGAATCAAACCCGGTTCTCCCAGATTATCATAGAATCATAGAATGCTAGAGTTGGAAGGGACCTTGCAGGTCATCTAGTCCAACCCCCTGCACTCTGCAGGAGCGTAGCGGAAAGAGAGCCCTTCATATCTACAACATACCCGAAAGAGAAAAACCATCCCCTTTGCGAGGTTATGGAAAGATATCACGGCGGACAACTGACAACTTGGGCACTCGCCAAGCTAATTCCCCGGCAGCCACGCTTTCTATCTTCATTTCTTTTTTGTGAGGCTAGGAAGGCATTCTACGGCAAGAGTGGTGTAGATTCAAATTCCCACTCAGCTGTGAAGCTCACTGGGTGACCTTGGGCTGCTCATTCTCTCTCAAAGGGTTATTGCGGGAATAAGATGGAGGGAGCAAGAAACGCATTTACCACCCAGAGGTTCCTGGAGAAAGGGTGAGATGAAAAAGTACAAGACAGGCAGACAGATTACCTGGGAAACTCCCTGTTCTAGTAATACATTTTCTTTAAACTGGTCTCTGGCATGGAGTTCCTGAAGCCACCGAGTAAACTGTCCCCTTCTTTCTTTATAACTAGTAGCTTTTGCACCGCACTGGAGATTAATAGAGACATCTGGCTCAAAATGACACGACCCAGAGCAAGATCTTGCCGATTCTTTTTGAGGAATAAATCCAGACACTGCTTTGTAGCCTAACGCGTTACAGTCAGTGTTCCCTCTGAGCTGCGTGAGTGTGAGCTAGCTCACAGTTCTCTAGCCTACAGCTCACACATTTTTGTCTCAGCTCAGGAAGGACGGCTCCAGAGCAAACTAAATTATGCAGCAGACAAATCGCTCGCGCACGGCTTTAATGCCAGTAACCCACCAAGTAGAATTTTTGCTCACAAGACTCCACAGCTTAGAGGGAACATTGGTCACAGTCTGGGTACACTTACGCCGAAGTCCACACAAAAGTACCAAGCAGTAAAATCTACTTTGACATTTTAATTCGGTATAGATGGAGAGAGATTTCGAAAAGGTCGCTGTTCAAAGTATACTCCCCCACGTTTCGTCTCTTTGTCGTGAGGACGTTTTGCGGGAGTGCGGATAAGAACTTTTCATACAGCAATGTGGAAAAAAGAAATAAATAGGAGAAACTGACCGGGATAAGTTTCGTAACAAAAAAGTTTCCCTGAGCATTGTAAGTTTCACTGCTTTTCGGGTGGCACCTGAAGATACCTTTCTCCCAACGCTGTCCACAACACCGCCAACTAAGGCTTAACGCCTCCCACAAACACAGACTCTCATCTGCCAGTCCCATCCCAATTTTTCAAGTGTCTGCTGGACCCAGTTTTGCTCTTTTCGGGTTCAGGTATACTCGCAGAGATGGCCGCATCCCGCGGGGCAGTGGGAGCTGGTCTCCAGCCATTTCATGATGTGTTGGAGATGCCCGCCGTGACTGCAGCCCTGGCACCACACGAACAGGCCCTTCACCACGTGGTGGCACACGGCGCACATGCTGGCGCACTGCCGACACCTGGAGAGAGACCAGAGGGTGAGTCAGCCAAACGGAAAGACTGGGCCACGTTAACATTCAGATGGAGCTCAGATCCCGGAGCAAGAAGTATAAAAATCGGCGAAGGTCCCACAAGGAGAGGGCCCCAGGGTATTGAAAACAGATCAGCCAATATCATAATGCCCCTGTATAAATCAATGGTGCAACCTTATTTGGAATACTGTGTGCAGTTCTGGTCACCACACCTTAAAAACGATATTATAGCTTTGGAAAAAGTGCAGAAAAGGGCAACTCGGATGATAAAAGGGTTGGAACAGTTTCCCTATGAGGAAAGGTTAAAGCGCTTAGGGCTCTTTAGCTTGGAAAAACGACGACTGAGGGGTGACATGATTGAGGTTTACAAGATTATGCATGGGATAGAGCAGGTAGAGAAAGAGGTACTTTTCTCCCTTTCTCACAATACAAGAACTCGTGGGCACTCCATGAAATTGCTGAGCGAATAAAAGGAAGGACTTCTTCACCCAAAGAGTGATTAACACATGGAATTCACTGCCACAGGAGGTGGCGGCGGCTACAAGCATGGACGGCTTCAAGAGGGAATTAGATAAGCATATGGAGCAGAGGTCCATTAGTGGCTATTAGCCACAAGGTATAGATAGGGGCTCTGGGGCATGTGATGCTCTGTCTTCTTGGTGCTTGGGGGGGCCAACAGTGGGAGGGCTCCTAGTGTCCTGGCTCCACTGCTGGACCTCCTGAAGGCACCTGGTATTTTTGGCCACTGTGTGACACAGAGTGTTGGACTAGATGGGCCTTTGGCTTGATCCAACATTGGCGTCTCTTTTGTTCTTATGTGCCTCCAGAGCGGCAACGAGAATGGCTGTTTAAAGGGCAACTTGACCAGTTAAGTTCTTGCTCCTAGTTAAGTACGGAAACACAAAAGGTGAGCTACACAGTAACGAGATCGGTAAACAAAATGAACTGTGCACCACCACTGTATATAAAATCCAAACGTCATTCTTATTCTAAGCACATTAATGCACACTGTAATACTGTATGCACAGGAGGAGTGTACCATGCAGGTAAATACAGACAATGTCTTCTTCAAAGGATGTATAGAAGGGTGAGTATAGTAGTTCCAAGTCACACGATTAGGAAAAACTCCTTCAGGCGTTCAAATTAAGTCCAACAAAAATTCTTCCGCCATACAGAGCTTCCTTCTTTCTCCGACGTGAACGCTAGCTTACCCCAAACACGTTTCCCGTATGCTTTCTCAAAGAACAGATCTGATTAAATTTTGCTCCAGGAGGACACTCTGTTACAATTTTAACGGGGACATCATCTTCTGAAGTGGACTGCGCTGAAAAGTGAAGTACGGCAGATGTTTCTGTACTGCCCTAAGTCCCTAACTTGTGGGATTGGGCTATGATGCTCTGACTGGAGTAGCGCTATGATGCTCTACTAAGCTCCGACGGGTCAAAGCAGTAAGATGGGAGGCCGGCAGTACAGAAGATGTGAAAACAGCGTCCTTCTTCCATCCCACAAACCCACACGCCCTCTGTGTTTCCATAACTGCATTTGTTCATATCTCAAGCCATGAAATCACTACACCCATCCAGCTCTTCCCGGTTATGTGGTAAGGGATGGAAGCAGATACTAAGATGCCCAGTCCAAACAGGAAACACAACAGCACTACGAGGCAGTGCAAGTTCCCAGTGCAAACCAAAAGGCCACCACCCTCGACTCCTCTGCTGGTATATGTCTTCTCCTCCAAATCCAAACCACAGACTCCAGAGTGGACCTGGGAAACGAAGGCCCTGGCAGCTACTCTAATACAGGCTTCCCTGGAGCCACGAGGCTTCCCTAGAGCGTAAAGAGGTACTTTTCTCCCTTTCTTACAGTACAAGAACTCGTGGGCACTCCATGAAATTGCTGAGCGGTCGGGTTAGAACGGATAAAAGGAAGGACTTCTTCACCCAAAGAGTGATTAACACATGGAATTCACTGCCACAGGAAGTGGTGGCGGCTACAAGCATGGACGGCTTCAAGAGGGAATTAGATAAGCATATGGAGCAGAGGTCCATCAGTGGCTGTTAGCCACAAGGTATAAGGGGCTCTGGGGCAAGGGATGCTCTGTCATCTTGGTGCTGGGGGGGGGGGAGGGGGGTTGAACAGTGGGAGGGCTTCTAATGTCCTGGCCCCACTAGTGGACCTCCTGATGGCAATGGTATTTCTGGCCACTTTGTGACACAGAGTGTTGGACTGGGTGGGCCATTGGCCTGATCCAACATTGGTGTCTCTTATGTTCTTATGCCTGCAGGCCGCACCACTATAGGCCCAGGATCATGGCCCAGTCTCGGACGGGCTCTGCTTTAGTTTTCAACAGCCATTCCCTGCAGCTGCTGTGCAGCTACAGGGCACCTGAGTTGGGTATGTTTGTGCTGTTACTTTAAAACAGTGAATTGTCTAGTTCAGCTCTGAGGGTGAGTCCCAGCTAAAATGAGGAACAAAGGACGGCGAAAGACCCGCGACCAGAGACTGGCTAATTGGGTCAACCGTGTGTCTTGGAGTAAGCGACTTCACCTGTCCAGGTGAGTACGGGACTAAGCCCCTCTCCCCAGATGTCTCACCTGTCGCAGATCCATCCCTTGTTGCTCATGGGCCGCTTGCAGTTGCTGCAGTTGATGTGCAGGGTGGTGGACGCCTGGTTGAGGCAGTTGATGGCTCGGCACGTGCTCAGTTTGATCACCTCGTTGGAGATGTTCCACCGCTGGAAGCGCTGCAGCAGGTCGATGTAGGAAGTGTACCAATGTTCCTGCAGAATTAGAGGTATGCACACGGTCAGGTATCTGCCTCTAAAGATGCCCCTCCGTGAGCTACTTCTAATACACATCAAACGTGGATTGCAAAACCCATCAATTAATTTCTGCAAAACGCAAGTTGGTAATGGCTTTGCATTTGTTTTGCCAAGTGTTCTCCTCCTATCATTGGCCAAACACTGTATTTATTTAAAAGGTAAAGGTTTCCATTGCTCGAAAGCCAGTCGAATCCGACTCTAGGGTTGAGGTGCTCATCTCCGTTTCAAAGCCGAAGAGCCAGTGCTGTCTGAAGATGTTTCCGTGGTCATGTGGCCGGCATGACTAAACGCCGAGGCGCACGGAACGCTGTGACCTTCCCACTGAAGTGGTGCCTATTTATCTACTTGCAATTTCTTGCTTTCGAACTGCTAGGTTGGCAGGAACTGGGGCCAGAGACAGGAGCTCACTCCGTCATGCGGCACACTTGGGTCTCGAACTGCTGAACTACCCACCTTCCACAGCCTGCAGTTCAGCGTCTTAACCACTTGAGCCACCACAGCTGTTTTAATTCAGTCTGTCTCCTTGCCAGGACTCCAAAGGGCCAACTCCACTTAGCATCAGTTTTCCGACTAAGCTGAGTTTTAGTGTGAGCTAGCTCACAGCTTTTTAGCCTCCGGCTCACCCCTTTTTGCCTTCGCTCAGGAAGGATGGGGCTCCAGAGCAAACTAGTTTACACAGTAGCCAAATCGCTCGCTCACAACTTTAATGCCAGGAGCTCACAAAGTAGAACTTTTGCTCACAAGACTCCACAGCTTGGAGGGAGCATTGCTTAGCCTTGTGAGCTTCGGCAAGAAACGGCAGGTATGACATTAATTCATTAATTCTTCTCATCTACCCTCTACGGTATTGAGATCCTCCTGCTTCTAGTGAAATACGTGGTTTTTCACACCAGTTTGCCTACGTGACACTCAAAAACAGAGAGGGTCCTGACCTGTGTTAGCCAAATTGCCTTGAATTATCAATTAGTCTAGGGGAGGTTAAGATTATTAATTGGCAATAGGCATGGCAAATTAGGGTTCACACCAATGTATACAGAAGTCCCACCTTTGCTGTAAGTTTCAGAACAGGCACAGAGACTGTATTCAGTAAAATATAATGTCTTTTTACTGGAGGATAAAGATAGATAATTATCACGTTTGCATGAGCAGGATATTCGTTGGTTGGGAGATATTTATCAGTCCTCACTGACTGAGCCGTTCCAATGGAAGAATGGAGGGGAGCCCCACGGCAGGCTGGGCCTGTCTCTAGGTCCACAATGCTCCCTCTAAGCTGTAGAGTCTTGTGAGCAAAAATTCTACTTTGTGAGCTGCTGGCATTAAAGTGGTGAGCGAGCCGTTTGGCTGCTGCATAAATCAGTTTGCTCTGGAGCCCTCCTTCCCGAGCGGAGACAAAAATGTGTGAGCCGGAGGCTAAGAAACAGTGTACTAACTCAGCTTAGAGGAAACACTGGCTGCGATTGGGGTCGTCTGAACCTTAAGGTCTGAACTCGTTCAAAACAGCTGCTCTTTAACATGCTGGCTTTCATCTGTGTGGAAAATAATCTCTGGGTTTGTGCTGCCAAAAAAAAAATAAAGAGCTTCATAAGAAAACATAAGAACATAAGGGACGCCAATGTTGGATCAGGCCAAAGGCCCCTCCAGTCCAACACTCTGTGTCACACAGTGGCCAAAAATACCAGTGCCATCAGGAGGTCCAGCAGTGGGGCCAGGACATTAGAAGCCCTCCCACTGTTGCTCCCCCCCCCCCAAGCACCAAGAAGACAGAGCATCCCTTGCCCCAGAGTCCCTATCTACACCTTGTGGCTAATAGCCACTGATGGACCTCTGCTCCATATGCAGGGCTATGCTTCAAACACTACTTCCATATGGTTCAAACACTAGGTCAAAAAGACCTTTGGTTTCACTCTTTCGAAGAACGACCGACCGCAGAGCAGCTCGGCTACAATGCAAACAGCCTTTGAAGAGGCTTTCAGCTGGGGAAAAATCAGCACCATTAAAAGCCATTCCACAGGTTCAGTTGCATTACCGGGTGCGACTGTTGCGCTGCTATCATCTTAAGAAAGGTTTTTCATTAATTTATCTGCAATGCATCAAGATCGCCGCTCCACTGTTATTTGATCGCCTTGAATATGCCAGTTGTGGATATTCCTTTTTTATTCTCTTTTACCTTTTATACTCCACCCCACAATCCTCTCTCGTAAATGTATTTCAATATCCCCCTTTATATATTTCAGTTAAGCTACCGAAACGACGGCTGAAGGGTGACATGATCGCTGAGAAAGAGCCGGCAGGTGGGATAGAGCAGGTCGAGAAAGAGGTCCTTTTCTCCCTTTCTCACAAGACAAGAACTCGCGGGCACTCCATGAAATTGCTGAGCGGTCGGGTTAGAATGGATAAAAAGAAGCACTTCTTCACCCAAAGAGTGATTTAACACATGGAATTCACTGCCACAGGAGGTGGCGGCGGCTACAAGCATGGACGGCTTATAGAGGGAATTGGATAAGCATCTGGAGCAGAGGTCCATCAGTGTCTGTTAGCCACAAGGGATAGATAGGAACTCTCGGTCTGGGGCAAGTGATTTTTGGCCACTGTGTGACAGAGTGTTGGACTGGATGGGGCTTTGGCCTGATCCAACACTGGCTTCTCTTATGTTCTTAATATGGAGCAGAGGTCCATCAGTGGCTCTTAGCCACAAGGTATAGATAGGAGCTCTCAGGCTGGGCCAAGGGATGCTCTGTCTTCTTGGTGCTTGGGGGCGGGGGTCAACAGTGGGAGGGCTTCTAGTGTCCTGGCCCCACTGCTGGACCTCCTGAGGGCACCTGGTACTTTTGGCCACTGTGTGACAAGAGTGTTGGACTGGATGGGCCATTGGCCTGATCCAACATTGGCTTCTCTTATGTTCTTATGAGTCTGTGTGTTTCCATACTGCTTTAGCTCTGCTCACTGGGACAATCTACAAAGGAGAGGAGCCTCAGGTGCTTGTCTTTAAACTCCCTTTGAAACAGAACAACAAAAACCGCGCTCTACCATCAAGAAGGGACCGTTCACCACCACCGTCCCCAAACAGGTACCTGCGCCTGGTCGTCGATCTCCTTCCGGATACGGTCCCCCAACACAATAAGCACCGAGGCGGCCATCTGCACGTCTCCCTGCTCAGCGTAGAAGAGCAGCATGTCGCGGACGATGGGACTGAAGAAGTCAGCGGGCAGGCGGTTTTCGTACAGCGAATGAGAGATGGAGATGAGGGAGAAGGATTCTACTGGCGTCAAGGAGACGGCCTCGGCCTCGTTGCCGCTGACGTGAGGGGAGTCTGCTTTGTCCTGCAGGTGATCCAGGGCCGAAGGGTTGTCCACAATCTCATGGCGCAGAGGAAAGGCTTCCTGGGGGAGGATGTACTCTTGCTCCTCTGCTATGAGAAGACACGGGCCCATGAGGAATGGGGAGGGACTGCTCGGAAGCTAAGCTGCTAATCCCGTCAGATCTCAGAAGCTAAGCAGGGTCGGTACTTGGAAGGGAGACCACCGAGGAAGACTCCGCAGAGGAAGGCAATGGCCAACCGCCTCTGCTTCTCCCTGGCCTCGAAAGCCCCTTGCTGGGGTCGCCATAAGTCTTGGATGGGAGACCACCGAGGAAGACTCCGCAGAGGAAGGCAATGGCCAACCGCCTCTGCTTCTCCCTGGCCTCGAAAGCCCCTTGCTGGGGTCGCCATAAGTCTTGGATGGGAGACCACCGAGGAAGACTCCGCAGAGGAAGGCAATGGCCAACCGCCTCTGCTTCTCCCTGGCCTCGAAAGCCCCTTGCTGGGGTCGCCATAAGTCTTGGATGGGAGACCACCGAGGAAGACTCCGCAGAGGAAGGCAATGGCCAACCGCCTCTGCTTCTCCCTGGCCTCGAAAGCCCCTTGCTGGGGTCGCCATAAGTCTTGGATGGGAGACCACCGAGGAAGACTCCGCAGAGGAAGGCAATGGCCAACCGCCTCTGCTTCTCCCTGGCCTCGAAAGCCCCTTGCTGGGGTCGCCATAAGTCTTGGATGGGAGACCACCGAGGAAGACTCCGCAGAGGAAGGCAATGGCCAACCGCCTCTGCTTCTCCCTGGCCTCGAAAGCCCCTTGCTGGGGTCGCCGACTCGCTGTTAAGTCGGCTGCAACTTGACAGGGCAGCTAAAGGCCAGTGGCAGGGGACATACTCACCATGGGGGTTCTCATGATCCATCATGTACAGGTCATCTTCATCTCCTTCCACATCCCCCAGGAGATAATCCGCAGGGACGTCACTGCCTTCCGTCTCCTCATTCTCTAATCATCCAGGAGGGGGAGGAAAGGCAGCAGGTGAGTGCAGACGGAAATGGCAAGACCCTTCTTACCAGCGGATAATTTCCTAAGGTTATAATCCTAAATGCACTTCCCTGCATCCACTGCAAGCCGCGTCAGCTGACAAATGGCTGGTGCAAACAAGTGTGTGTGTGTTTGTGTGTGTGGAAGAATTCAGAGGATAAAAACATCTAAGAATTCCCACACAGCCAACTCCATGGGACTTACAAAGAGCTCTGCAAGCAGGGTTAAGGTGGGTGTGCTTTCCCATTCCCAGAACCGTAGAGTTGGAAGGGACCTCCGGGGTCATCTAGTCCAACCCCCTGCACAAGGCAGGGCATTCACAAGTACCCCCCCCATGCCCCCAGTGACCGCCACTCCACGCCCCGAAGAGGGCAAAAAGACCATTCTTGCCGTCATTGTTGATCAGAGTGGAGGAAGAATCCATGAGGATGTTTTCAGGGCGGCTCTCCCCTTTGCTCCGCTCCAGCCTCGACTCGCTGCCAATCCCGGGGGGAATATCCTTCAAGTTGAAGCTGGGAAAGAAGAGTACATCTTTGTTGGTCCCTGGCAAAATCCAGGGCCTGCATCCTCGCACCCACTAACCCTCTGATCGCCTTTCGCAGTGCTTTACACTTTTTTGGGGAGGGGAGGGAACAACTAGTAGCCTTGCAAGCAGGTGGGGCTGAGAGAGCTCTTTCGAGGACTGCACCTGAGAGAGCAGCTCTGAGAGAACTTGTGACTGACCCAAGGTCACACCAGCAGCTGCATGTGGAGGAGTAAGGGAATCAAACCCGGTTCTCCCAGATTAGAGTCCACGCTCCTAACCAATGTTCCCTCTAAGCTGTGGGGTCTTGTGAGCAAAAATTCTACTTTGTGAGCTCCTGGCATTAAAGTCGTGAGCGAGCGATTTGGCTGCTGCATGAATTAGTCTGCTCTGGAGTCCTTCCTGAGCCAAGACAAAAATGTGTGAGCCAGAGGCTAAAAAACTGTGAGCTAGCTCACACTAACTCAGCTTAGAGGGAACCCTGCTCCTAACCACTACACCAAACTGGCTCTTAACTCACCTCTTGAGCATATGTGAGCCATACGTAAGAACACACAGGGGGACAAATAAGATGTTGGGGCTTCATCCTAGGATATTTACCAACTCTATGGGCGCTCTCGAAATGCCAAGTATTTTGGATTCAAGGGGCAGCTTTAGTTGCTAAGCGAATCATATTACAATACTGGGAATCTCAAGTATCCGCCTCTATAGAACTGTGGGTCGATTTGCTACACCCAGGGGTGTCGAACTCATTTGTTATGAGGGCCGGATCTGACATAAATGAGACCTTGCTGAGCCGGGCCAAGTGTGTCATAGAATGGCATGCCAGGTAGCGGAGAGATAAACTTTATAAAGGACACAAACACAAAGGGTTTTTTGAAAAAAACTTAAAATAAAAACATGCTTAAAACATTAGCACTCTTGCAATATTTTGTTTATTTAACAGTGTCTGATAACTGACACCTCTTGCTCCGAATTATTGCATCAAAATGTCTGTGCTGTTGCAGCCTTGAGTAGGCTGTTCAGGTGCGTATCTGTAAGCTGCAAACCTACGATGACGCAGCAGCAGCAGAACTGGAAGAAGAAGAAGCAGAAGCCAGCCAGTTCCACTGCGGGCCTGACGGAAGCCCTCCGGGGGCCTGATCCGCCCTCCTGGCCACATGTTTGACACCCCTGTGCTAGACCTTTGTACAAAAGAGAGAATGACCTTGGGCAAGCCATAGTTCTGTCAGAGCTGTTCTCTCAAGAGCGGTCCTCGAAAGAGCTCTCTCAGCCCTGCCTACCTCACAGGGTGTCTGTTGCGGGGAGGGGAAGGGAAAGGAGTTTGTAAGCCACTCTGAGACTCCGAGTGAAGGGCGGGGTATAAACCCAATCTCTTCTCTTCTTCTTCTTAATGGGGCTTTCATTGGACCCTTACATGTTTTTTTAACTTTTCTCAAAATAAATACACGTATTTTTACTTACAACAAGTCTCTATGAGGTTTTAACTGCAGGGAAGCAGAAACGCACAAAGAACAGATTTTAGGATGTTTAAACATGCCCATTTTAAAACTCACATACCACCATGCCTCAAAAGAAAACCGAGTCCCAGGGCTCTTTTTGTAGCAGGGACTCCTTTGCATATTAGGCGACCCCCCCCCTAATGTAGCCAATCCTCCGAGAGCTTAGAGCTCTTCTTACAGGAGCTACTGTAAGCTCTTGGAGGATTGGCTACATTAGGGGTGTGTCACTTAATATGCAAATGAGCACCTGCTACAAAAAGAGCCCTGAAACCGACTATTACCTTCTCCAATGCAAATGGCACTTGTAGCACGCAAACAAGTGGCCCACCTATCAGCTTGCACCCCACTTCATGGTTTACACAACCTCAGCTTTCCATCATTCTCTGCTCGAGGACGCTGCAACCATTTACCTGTTCATGAGCTGGAGGCCAGAGCCACTCTTCCCTAGACTGTGATTTAGATTCGCGGAGGACACAGTGCCGGGACTGGAGTAAATAACCCGAAGCATCGTCCACGTCTGAGCCACCTGGGGAAGAAGAGAAAAGAAGGAGCTGAAAATCACCGGCCATGTTGTTCATAGAGGTGTTCATAGAGGAAAAAACCCGGAAAAATTCGGGGGAAAACCGTCCCCCCCCCCTTTTTTTCCTGAAAAATGGGAAAAATTAAAAATAGAAAAGAAAAAAAATTGATTTTTTGGGGGGGGGGAAACGGAAATTTTTGGAAAAATTGAAAAAATGCTACATTAGCATTTCTTTTGTCTTTTCTAGACTGAAAGTCATTCTGTTACTTTAGGAACATAAAATATGACTATGGACATTTTTATTTGGCATGAAATTATCAGAACTAGCATATTAAAGATATAGCGTACCCAAACAATTATTACAAACAGAATACCCACCCACATGCAAAAACAAAACTGAAACTTTTTTATTTTCTTCTGACAATCGCACCTCCTAAAGGAAGAAATGCATCTTGTTCTTGCATTGGAGAGTTCAGTTTGTAACCTAGGACTTGCTTGTCCTCAGTGCACAGAAATTAGATCAATCTGATACTATATATATATATTTTAGAAATGATTTGGAAAATATCTGAACACCTGGTCTTAAAATATTTTATTCATCATGTTAAAATAAAACGTTCCATAATCAATTTTTTTTCTTTTCTTTTTTCAATTTTTCGGAAAAAAACCAAAAAGGCTTCTGGAAAAAAAGGGGGGGGGGAAACGGTTTCCCCCCGAATTTTTCCGGTTTTTTCCTGGGCCTTCACATCTCTACTCCACAGCTTAGAGGGAGCCTTGGACTGACAGCGGCTGCCGAAGCAACATTTTAAAAAATCTGCACAGCCAATCAAATCCCTGGCGGCCAGTTGGAAGCCTTGCTGGCAAAAGTCCCACCTGGTCCCGCCTACTTCCTAAAAACACTTGGCTGGCACCAGAAAAGTTGCTGGCAGGTGCCCCCGTGCCCCACGTTGGGGACTCTGGTGGGCTCTTTTTGTAGCAGGAACTCCCTTGCATATTAAGCGACACACCCCTAATGTAGCCAATCCGCCAGGAGCTTACAGTACCCCTGTAAGAAGAGCTCTGTAAGCTCTTGGAGGATTGGCTACATTAGAGGTGTGTGGCCTAATATGCAAAGGAGTCCCTGCTACAAAAAGAGCCCTGTCTGGTACACTGTATTCATGCAAGCGAGAGGAGGAGGAAGGTGAGCCGACGAGACAAAGGCTCCAACCAGGGACATCCTGATTCACAGCCTGGTCTCCCGGCTCGTTCACCACAGACACACGCTCACCTGGTTCCGCCCGAGTTCTTTGGCCACCGTGGCGTTATGGTCACACAGCTCCGCCAGAGGCCTCCCCGCCAGCACGTACTGCTTGGCGGTGCGCACAAACCAGTCCATGCTCCCGGCGTCGCACTCCGTGTCCGCTTCAAAGACGCTCAGGGCGCTGGAGGAGGAGACGTACTCAAACTGCTCCGTCGGGTCCAGCTTGCGCTTGAAGAAGATCGGGTGGCGCCGGTCGCCGACGTAGGGCTTGCGGTTCGAGTCAGAAGAGATCAAGCTCTCCTTGGCGGCGAAGGCCAGGTCCCCGAAGAGGCTGTAGCAAAGCCCCTCGGGGTTCGCGCGGTCGATGGGCTGGCTGGCGTCCTTGAAGATGTGCTGGTAGAGGGTGCTGTCCTTGGAGCCGGATAAGAGAAAGTACGGGTCGTGGAGGTGGCGCCACACGATGCCCGTGGTGACGTCTTTGTGCTCCTCGAACATGGCGGAGGGGATGAAGGGGCGGCGCACGTCCCACACGTAGATGTTGTGGTCCACCATCATCGAGCACGTGGCGATGTGGTGCTTGCATTCGGGCCGCCACTTGACCCTGGCGACTGAAGCGATCGTCTGCACGCAGTAGATCTCTTTGGCCCGGGTAGTGTTCATGTCCCAGACCTTCACCATCTTATCCCGGCCCCCTGTTGCCAGCCAGCCCCTGGCATAAGGAACCACAAAAATGAAGTTTAATGAGGCATGAGAAGAAGAAAAAGAAGAAGAAGAGATTGGATTTATACCCCGCCCTTCACTACCCAAGGGAGTCTCAGAGCGGCTTACAAACTCCTTTCCCTTCCCCTCCCCACCACAGACACCCTGTGAGGCAGGTGGGGCTGAGAGAACTCTGACAGAAACTGCTTTTTCAAAGACAGCTCTTATCAGAACTACGGCTTGCCCAAGGTCATCCAGCAGGTGCAAGTGGGAGAAGAAGAGATTGGATTTATACCCCGCCCTTCACTACCCAAAGGCGTCTCAGAGCGGCTTACAAACTCCTTTCCCTTCCCCTCCCCACAACGGACACCCTGCGAGGTAGGGGGGGCTGAGAGAGCTCTTGACAGAAGCTGCTCTTTTCCAAGAAGAAGAAAAAGAAGAAGAGACTGGATTTATCCCCTGCCCTTCACTACCCAAAGGAGTCTCAGAGCATCTTACAAACTCCTTTCCCTTCCCCTCCCCACGACAGACACCCTGGGGCTGAGAGAGCTCTCTCGAGGACTGCCCTTGAGAGAACAGCTCTGAGAACTTGTGACTGACCCAAGGTCACACCAGCATACCTAACAAGGGATACTCCCAAAATTCAGCTCATTCTGTTACTTTGATCTAGAAGAAGAGATTGGATTTATACCCCGCCCTTCACTACCCAAAGGAGTCTCAGAGCGGCCTACAAACTCCTTCCCCTTCCCCTCCCCACAACAGACACCCTGTGAGGTAGGTGGGGCTGAGAGAGCTCTCTTGAGAACTGCCCTTGAAAGGACAGCTCTGAGAGAACTAATGGCTGCTCCAAGGTCACACCAGCAGCTGCATGTGGAAGAGTGGGGAACCAAATCCCAGATTAGAGTCTGCGCTCTTAACCACTACACCAAACTGGCTCTTTTGGCTTAGAATCCTGAGAGGGTTCACTGAAGTTTCCATTGACCGTGGTTGGCACGTATCCCAATTGCTATCTCTTGATTCTCGTCTACCGTTACTGCCTTCGAGTCCATACATTCACATTCACACATTCCCCCGGCTCAGAATCAGTTCTCAGCTTCACGAAAACAAACTGTGCCACAGAGTGAAGCATCTATCGTATCTTAACACTTATTTCAACAATGCTTAAAAACTAAGCACTGTGCAGAAGTTAAAAGGAGATACAACCCCACTCGCAGGCTCACAGGTGAACACAGATGGAGAATGAGGAAGGAGAGAAAGAACCAGAAGGACGGAGAGGAGAATGCTTAAGCAAGGAGATTAGACTACTGCACCTCAAGATTAGACTACTGCAACGCTCTCTACATGGGGCTGCCCTTGTCTCAGATCCAGAAGGTGCAGCTAGTGCAAAATGCAGCGGCCAGGCTCTTGATGGGTCTCTCCAAACGAGACCACATGCGGCCTGTGCTGAAGGCATTGCACTGGCTGCCAAGAGCTTACCGGATTTGCTTCAAGGTGCTGGTTTTGACCTTTAAAGCCCTATATGGTCAGGGGCCTGCCTACTTGAGGGATCGCCTTTCCCCACATGTGCCCCAGAGACCACCGAGGGCAGGGACACAGAGTCACCTGACTCTCCCTGGCCCGAGAGACGCCAGGTTGGCCGCTACTAGAGCCAGGGCCTTTTCGGTGGCGGCTCCACACTGGTGGAATGAGCTCCCGGATAATATCAGGGCCCTGTGGGACCTTTTACAGTTCCGCAGGACCTGGAAAACAGAGCTCTTCCACCAGGCCTTCCATTAGGAGCCGCCACTAATGAATGTGCCACTGGAACACGCTATGGCCCATGTAAAACACCGGTGGGTACTGCCTGCCTTGAGGGAATTGTATATTGATGCCGCCATCATCTGCATTGTTCCTGTTAGAATTTATGATGTTAGGTAGTTGTTTATATATATTTTAGTGTATTTTAGTGTATTGACTTTGTTTTATTGCTTTTAATGTTGTTTGCTGCCTTGAGCCGGTTCCCGGCAAGGCGGGATATAAACTGAAAATAATAAATAAATAAATAAGGCGATCCTAAACTTGAGAAGGAAATGTTAAAATGGTCCACTGGGGGGGGGGGGCTGTCTGAAAGTTGGAAGAGGAGCTGTGCATATTAAAGGACAATTAAAGCAAGGACAAATAGATTTAAAAAATAGTTTTTATTCGAGAGCTATTATTGCCTTAAGTGCTGTATGAAATTGGAATTTGGGTGACATTGGTGGTTTTAAGTTGTTATGTGAACCTTAAGGGAGTTATGGGACAGTTGTGAATGGTGTGTGAGTGTATATGAATATTGTTGTAGATCACCGAAATGATTGCATCTTTAATTTCGTTGTACTATGTACAATGACAATAACGTATAATTATTATTATTATGATGAAGATGATGATGATGTCAGAAGGAAGCGTGTTCCACAGACAGGAAGAAGAGACAGGATACAAAACACTGAATCTGAGCTTTATCATTTTACTGTAACACCGATGATCAATGTTCCCTCTAAGCTGTGGAGTCTTGTGAGCAAAAGTTCTACTTTGTGAGCTACCAGCATTAACATTGTGAGCCAGTGATTTGGCTGCTGCATCAATTAGTTAATTCTGGATCCATCCTTCCTGAGCTATGATAAAACTGTGAGCCAGAGGCTAAAAAAACTGTGAGCTAGCTCACACTAACTCAGCTTAGAGGGAACACTGCCGATGATTATGCATTGATGATTAGGTTGGGATATTAATGGCTTTTTTAGCGTTCGCCACCTCAAGGAAGGCTCTAGAAAGGCTGCGTGTGAACTAAACAAAACATAAAGGCAGAAAGGGCAAGAGGTATGAAGGAAACAAGAGGGGAGAATAAATGTAGAGCAAACAGACAAGGAAGAGCGTAAGAATGCCGGTATTTAAGGCTGGGGAGGGTGTTCTTTGGACCAAAGTCTATTTCCCGCTGCCCATACCTGTCCTCTGGGTGCCAGTCGCAACAGAAAACGGGTCCGTTGTGGGCCGTGAACATCCGCTCGTAGCGATCGGGCCGGCGGATGTCCCACAGCTGAACGTTTCCGTTCTCAAAGGTGGCTGCAAACGTGAAGTAATCGCGGATGCTAAACTGGACGTCGCGCACACTTTCCGACTGACCTGAAGGACGGCACAGACAGAGAGAAAGCTCAGCAGCAAGCCTTATTATACGCAGAAGCTCATGTGAGTGAGGTTCTCCCAGGGCAGTCAAGACTCCTAGCACGCAATGTTCCCTCTAAGCTGAGTTAGTGTGAGCTGGCTCACAGTTTCTTAGCCTCCAGCTCACACATTTCTGTCTTAGCTCAGGAAGGAGGGTTCCAGAGCAAATTAATGTATGCAGCGGCCAAATTGCTCGCTCACAACTTTCATGCCAGTAGCTCACAAAATAGAATTTTTGCTCACAAGACTTCACAGCTTAGAGGGAGCACTGCTGGCACGGCACAACAGATCCCCACGGAGAACGTCGTAGGCTCCTAGTTTCCATCTGCACTCTTCAAACTTATCTATCGCCTCCGGTAATTTGGTCCCTTCTTCCTTTCGATCCTGTTGCTGCACAATGTACGAGGACCGCGGGAGCAAAGTGCCGCACTGCCGTGAACCCAAACAAATGCAAGATTAATAAATCAATACTCACACGTGGAACATAAACAGAATGGGCACAGAGATTTAGTTAAGTGTTTTTGCGGTCAAGTAACTGTGGTGGCTCAAGTGGTTAAGACGCTGAACTGCAGGCTGTGGAAGGGTCAGCAGTTCGAGACCCAAGTGTGCCACATGACGGAGTGAGCTCCCGTCTCTAGTTCCAGCTCTTGCCAACCTAGCCGTTCGAATGCAAGAAATTGCAAGCAGATAAATAGGTACCACTTCGGTGGGAAGGTAACAGCGTTCCGTGCGCCTTGGTGTTTAGTCATGTCGGCCACATGACCACGGAAACATCTTCGGACAGCGCTGGCTCTTCGGCTTGGAAACGGAGATGAGCACCGCAACCTTAGAGTCTGATTCAACTGGCTTTCGAGCAAGGGAACCTTTACCTTTACCACCATAAAACCAATAAAGCAAGTCACTTGCTTAATTTGGTGTCCTCTTTCACGTTCAATGTCGCACTCATCAAATTAATGCCAGCCACCCAAAGTGAATCCAAATGACAAAATATTACATTATTTTTTTAAAAAATTATCAGATTGAGGGGGAGAGAGAGAAGAGACTGGACTTATACCCCGCCCTTCACTACCCAAAGGAATCTCAGAGCGGCTTACAATCCCTTTCCCTTCCCCTCCCCACAACGGACACCCTGTGAGGTAGGTGGGGCTGAGAGAGCTCTTTTGAGGACTGCTCCTGAGACAACAGCTCTGAGAGAACTTGTGACTGACCCAAGGTCACACCAGCGGCTGCATGTGGAGGACTGGGGAATCAAACCCAGTTCTCCCAGATTAGAGTCCGCACTCCTAACCACTGCACCAAACTGGCTCTCACACCAAACTGGCCCCTTGGGAAAAAGAGAGCTCCAAAGTAATACAAACACAACCAATAAAACATGATCTCAGCGTATGCACTTAGCACCAGAAAGGTTCATGAAGAGATCTGTTGTACAACATAATAGGAAAGTGGTCCAAACTGGTTTATTTGTTACTGACAGCCTGAACTGTGCACTTTCCTGAAAGTAAGCCCCACTGAATAGAAGTGCACAGGAGTCTGAGCAGACGCACTTAAGACTGCTCTCTTACTCCACTGGGAGACCGGTTATCATATTCCGACCAGGGGTCATTTCATAGAAAAAGAGCTAGGGGAACTCATTAGCATAACTCATTAGCATATGCCACACCCCCTGACATCACCGGAAGTGTGTCATAAGGCCACACCCCCTGACATCACCGGATGTGTGTCATAAGGCCATACACCCCGCCCCCAACGGTCCCGGCCACTGCCGCCAGCCTTGCAGCTCCACTGCCGAGCCCCATGAGGGGCCCGGCGGTGGACCTGCAAGGCCGGCAGGAGTACAAGGAAGCCCCGCGGGCAGGGGTGGGGAGAGGCAGGGACCCTCCCATTTCTCCTGCCTCCTCCTGGCTGAATGAGGGCCGGAAGCAGGGGGCGGGGCTTCGTCATGTGCTCCGCCCCCCGTACCTCACACGGGGGAACTGCGTTCCCCCGCGTTCCCCCCCAAAATGACCTCTGTGAAGAGCTGGTCCTGCTTGTTGCGGGACGGCTTGCCGAGGTTCCAGGTCACGACCACACCGTTGGTGGCCGCCGTGGCCAGCAAGTTCTCGTCCATCTGGTGCCACACCACATCCGCGCAGCTGAAATTCAGGGAGGGTTTGCGGCCCACGCGCAGGTTCAGTCTCTCCACAAACTGGTCTTCTTCTATGGAGTAGATCTTGAAGATGTTGCGCCCGGCGACTACCACCTGGGCTGCATCACGACACACGCTGATGGCGTTGGCAGGGGCGTCCAAGTGGCAGGACATGGTGCGGCCCGTGATGGTATTGCCGCCAAGGGCAGTGGTCACTCTCGCCATTTTCTCCATGGCTGCCTTCTGAGGGGGGACTCAGTTTAGCACGTTTGCCCAACAACCACAGAGCAGGAGCGCCTAGAACTGTACTTTGAAGCACCCCATTACATAATCCCATTTACATTGTCTGCGTATCATTATTAGTAAGGAAATGAGCCGATTTCTACAATGCTTTACACGAATGTTCTAGAAGTCCATCCCGATACGGGTATCATCTCTTAAGGCAAGCAAAAGTCATTATATCATCACGTTACAACCACTTCAAATTTGACTTCCAAATTTATTCAGCTACCCTTGTCTGCTTCTCGAGAAAGTTTCTCAGGGATTTGTTCCTTTAATTGTGCAGAGATGCTTTTAACTGAAGAAATACGGCAAACTTCCTGTAACAAAAGACAGACCTGCTCAGGAAGCAATTCAACTCAATTGTATACTGAAGTGAGAATAATCAGATAAAAGGGAACTATCTTTTCAAAATCTTTAGACCCCAAAACGGCAACAGCCAATACAGCAGTGTAGACAGTTTCAGAGGGTAGCCGTGTTGGTCTGGAGTAGAACTGTTAGATTCGAGTCCACTAGCAATTTATAGTCTAACAAGAGTTTCAGGGTATAAGGGTCAAAGCTCACTTCATCAGACACAAAATGGGGATTTCGGAGTCTTTACAGAAGCATAAAGTTGGAAGGGACCTCCAGGGTCATCTAGTCCAGCTCCTTAGTCAGAGGGATGGTGTTGTAAAGAATTAATGTAAGGGATGCACAGGGACAATGCCTAATTGTAATCAGCTTGATTAGAGCCGAGGGGAAATGCCTTGGGGCAGAAAATTAGCATCTGTGGTGAGATAAGAATCCTTTGTCCCTATTCGGCCCGGGGCTGTTGTTCTAAACTTGTAAATTAACTCATAATCTCACCTTGAGGCTTCTCTGGGGACTGCTATTCTTAGGTCAGCAAGGGAAGATTAAAATGTTCTCCCACTGATTTTTGCGTGTCATGGATTTCAGGTCAGATTTCAGTCCAGTTATTCTTTTGCGTAGGACCTGTTTGTCCGATGTAGAGAGTGGAAGGGCACTCTGACATTTGATGGCATATTTAACGTTGGACAATGAACAAGTGAGTGTACCTTTGTATCCATTACAAGCACTCTTCACAGCAACCTTCCTACCTTCTGACTGGGATAGAAAGGCTCCCAAGATCTCCATTCCTACTTGTGTCTGACGAAGGGAACGTTGACTCTCGAAAACTTATACCCTGAAACTCTTGTGCTGTTGGACTCCAGTCTATCTGTTCTACATCAGTGTAGTTTGTTCCTGGGGATATATGATCAAAGAAAACATGGGGGGTTTCTTGAGGAGGGGGGGAGATTTGGGAAATTTTCCAGAAGGTTTTCCGATGCCCTAAAGATATAGCATGATCTGATCTGGCATATTTATTTTGACCTATATTCAGCAAGCAAATTTTTAAAAGTACCCCGTGTTTATTTTATATCCTAAGAGCAATAAATACTTGGACTTAAATCTCTGATGAGGCAACAAATAATAACATTTGAACGGAGCTATTTGGTAAGGAAATAATAGTTCTACTATGGTCCTTTGGACTGCAAGAAGATCAAATCAGCCAATCCTAAAAGAAATCAACCCTGACTGTTCCCTGGAAGGCCAGAGACTGAAGCTGAAGCTCAAATACTTTGGCCACCCAATGAGAAGGAAGCGCTCACTGGAGAAGAAGACCCTGATGCTGGGACAGATTGAAGGTCAGAGAAGACGGGGACGGCAAAGGATGAGATGGTCAGACAGTGTCATCGATGCAACGAACATGAAATTGAGCCAACTTCAGAGGACGGCGGAAGACAGGAAGGCCTGGCAGGATCTGGTCCATGGGGTCGCGGAGAGTCGGACTCGACTGTGCGACTGAACAACAACAAATGGTTTAAATGCTAAGGTGCTACTGTACTCTGACTCTTTTCTGCTGCTACAGACAAGCTAACACGGCTCCCCGTCTTGATCTATCCCTACGGTTTAAATGTTACGTTCAAAGAAATGCAGAGCTTTATTTATTGTTTAAAGGAGAGGGAGACACTGAAATATTATCACTATACTGATTTCAGCGCCCCAGAAAACTGTGCGCGAGATGCCACAGATGTGGTTGTCCAACCATCTATTTCAAAAGAACTTACTTTTCTTCCACAAAGTTCACTGGCGTGCCTCAACTGCAACATCAGTTTCTTATTCATCTAAATGTCCATCTTTCTGATTAAGGGCTGCCTTAATGCATCTCTGTGCCCCAACATTAAGGGGGTGCTAGTTATTCGGGGGGATTAAACAACAGTATATATATTTATGCATAAACCCACACATACTCGATCTTAGCCAAAAGGCAAAAAAAGGCCATTGCATGGGTATTTATATTTACTGCCACTTAACCCCTCCACACACACACACATACATATTTGTTGTTGTTCAGTGGCACAGTCGAGTCCGACTCTTCGCGACCCCATGGACCATCTCCCGCCAGGCCCTCCTGTCTTCCGCCATCCTCTGAAGTTTGCTCAATTTCATGTCCGTTGCATTGATGACACTGTCTAGCCATCTCATCCTTTGCTGTCCCCGTCTTCTTTGACCTTCAATCTTTCCCAGCATCAGGGACACATACATATACTGTCGCTTTATTTCATAATAGACACATGCATATATAAAAGTCTGACAGATGCATTAGTTGCATCCTTCAAGCTCCTAGCCCACGTGCAATGCCATTGACGTTTCTTAGGATTACCATATTTTGAAAAGCAAAAAAGAGGACATCTTTCCTGACTGACTATTTCAAACAAGGGATCACTATGCCAAATCTTTGTAAAGAATATAGGAATGGAAGAATATTCTTTGGAAAGGATATAGGGATGAAAACGCCTCACTTTTTAAAAGGCAAAATGCAGATTAAAACAAAATGCAGAGTATCTACCTAGGGTAGGGTGAACCATATTCTGAAAAGCAAAAAAGAGGACATACTTCCTGACTGACAAGAACTGCTCTTGAGGGAACAGCTCTGAGAGAACTGTGGCTTGCCCAAGGTCATCCAGCCAGGTGCAAGTGAAGGAGCAGGGAATCAATTCCGGTTCTCCCAGATTAGAGTCCGCACACTTAACCACTACACCAAACTGGCTCTCCTTCCCTTCCTGTCCCCAAAACAGACTGGCCCAAGGTGTCTCAAAGCAGCTTACACTCGTCTTCCCCTCCTTTCCCCACAACAGTCACCCTGTGAGGTAGGCGGGGCTGAGAAAGCGCTGAGAGAACTGCTCTTGAGAGAACAGCTCCGAGAGAACTTGTGTTCCCTCTAAACTGAGTTAGTGTGAGTTAGCTCACAGTTTTTTAGGCTCCGGCTCACACATTTTTGTCTCGGCTCAGGAAGGGATGGCTCCGGAGCAAAACTGATTTATGCAGCAGCCCAAATCTCTCATAGCTCACAACTTTAAGGCCAGTCGCTCACCAAGTAGAATTTTTGCTCACAAGATTCCACAGTTTAGAGGCAACATTGCTTGTGACAGACCCAAGGTCACCCAGCTGGCTGCATGTGGAGAAGAAATGGGGGAATCAAACCCAGTCCTCCCAGATTACCCTCTAAACTGAGTGAGTGTGAGCCAGCTCACGGTGTTTTAGCCTCCGGCTCACCCATTTTCAGCTTCGCTCAGGAAGGATGGGGCTCCAGAGCCAACTAGTTTTTGCAGCAGCAGAAGCTCACAAAGCAGACTTTTTGCACACAAGACTCCACAGCTTAGAGGAAGCCTTGCCCACTACACCAAATCCCCCCCCCGGCCGGCCACTAGTGAGGCAATGAGGACCTTCGAGGGATGCCAGATCCAGGTCGGGAAACTCCTGGAGATTTGGAGGGGGGGCGACACGGAGCCCGGGGGAGGAGGACAGGGGGCGCCGCAGAGCCCGCCCACCCCTTTTTCTCCAGGGAACTGAGCTGATCTCTGCAGCCTGGAGATGGGCTGGGATTCCGGGGGATCTCCCGGTCCCGCCTGGAGGCTGGCAACCCCGTCTCTGGCGCCTTCCCGGCTGAGGGGGGGGGAGAAAGAAATAAATCTCTCTCACACACACACGCACGCTTCGCAGAGGGGTTTTCGGGGCCGCCGCACACGAGGCCCCCCCTTTTCCTCTCTCCCTCGCCGACGACGAGTCCCCCCCAACTTTCAGGTCCCGCGGCGAAGGGCGCGGAGGTGAAAACTACGGCGGCCGAGGTGGGTCGCGGGACGCGGCGGGCGCGAGGATGAGTCCAGGGCGGCGTCCTCTCTGCCGGGCCTTGCCCCCGTCTCCTTCCGCCGCCGAGGCCTCATGGAGCCAATCCTCCAAGAGCTTACAGAGCTCTTCTGACAAGGGCTGCTGTAAGCTCTCGGAGGATTGGCTACGTTAAGGGGGGCGTGTCCTGAGATGCAAAAGAGTTCCTGCGACAAAGAGAGCCCCGCTTCAGAGCTCCCCCGCCCCCCGTTGGAGAAGGACACAAGGGCATGGGGGCGGGTCGCTTTTTTAAAAAGACAGAATGCAGAAGGGGACAAAATGACAAGAGATCAGCCTGCCCAGGATAGGTAAAGGTTCCGTTGCTCGAAATCCAGTGGTTAACTATATTTTGGGAAGCAAAAAAAAAAAGAGGAGGTCATCTTTCCCAACTGACTGCTTCAAACGAGGGGTCACTGCGACCAGTGTTCCCTCTGAGCTGGCTCACAGGTTTTTTAGCCTCCAGCTCACAGGGTTTTTTTGTCTTGGCTCAGGAAGGAGGGCTCCAGAGCAAACTAATTTATGCAGCAGACAAATCGCTCACTCAGAACTTTAATGCCAGCAGCTCATAAAGTAGGATTTTTGGACACAAGACTCCACAGCGTACAGGGAGCATTGTGACCAGTGTTCCCTCTAAGCTGAGTTAGTGTGAGCTGGCTCACAGGTTTTTTAGCCTCCAGCTCACAGGGATTTTTTTGTCTTCGCTCAGGAAGGATGTCTCCAGCGCAAACTAATTTATGCAGCAGACAAATCACTCGCTCACAACTTTAATGCCAGTAGCTCACAAAGTAGGATTTTTGCTCACAAGACTCCACAGCTTAGAGGGAGCATTGTGACCAGTGTTCCCTCTGAGCTGAGTTAGTGTGAGCTGGCTCACAATTTTTTTAGCCTCCGGCTCAAAGATTGTTTTGTCTCCGCTCAGGAAGGGATGGGCTCCAGAGCAAACCGATTTGCGCAGCAGCCAAATGGCTCACTCACAACTTTAATCCTAGTTAGCTCACAAAGTAGAATTTTTGCTCACAAGCTTAGAGGGAGCATTGACTGTGACGCTTCTTTTTATTTGGAAAATCTATAGTAATGAAAG